GGGATATGCTGCCCTAATAATAATGTTGCTTCCATAGGGATGGAGGTCTGTGTGAAGAAGCACCATTTATAGGTGAAAAGCACAGCTCGGAGTCCAATTTACAAGCTAAATTATGTCTTTGAGACTCTCAGGAATATTTTTTAGTACATTTTCTTGAAGGGAAAAAAGGCTTCAGTAACTTTTGTGTCCTAAAACCGCAGTTTTCTTTCAAAGTACAATTTAAAACTTCCAATTTTTCTTGTCTTCTTTCTACCTATCATTGTTATTATTTTGTAAATATTCTACCTAAGTCCCCTCAGACCACCTGTGTTAGACTTACATGGAAGCCTGTTGGTGAAATATTCCCAAGTCTGCTCCTGACTTATGCATCCCAATCCCTGAAGGTGAGGTTTAAAAAAAAAAATCTCCATTTTTGTTGTTTTTTGAGACAGGGCCTTGCTATGTAGTTCAGACTGTCTTCGAACTCATGGCAATCCTGCCTTGGCCTCCTGAGTGTGTGCCCTGCCACCTCCACCTCAACAAAAGGCTCCATTTTAAAAGAATTCTTGAAGTGCTTCTGATGTTCAGTCTGAGAGCCTCTGGCTATAAGAATGTAATTGGCATTGAAGAGTAAAATAAAATATAAAATGAAGCCAAAAATACCTTCAAGCACAAATATTGGCAGATGCCCGAATGGGCAAATATATCATTGTATTAAAATATAATCAAGGATTATTCCACTTTTAAAAAGTCAGTAGAATACTTGGTTTTTGAAAATGACAGGGAAGGTTTTAAATGAAGTATTTGTTGAAAATGTTTTGCTCTTACAGGAGGAAAGTGTTTTATGCAATCAATTCTTCCTGAACTAATTACTTTATGAACTATAAAACGTGAAAATAGCTTTTTATGAGCTCCAGATACAAAGACTTTTTTCATTAAGATTTTCTAGGATTAAGGGACTTTCTTTTCTTTTGTCCTTTTTTTTTTTTTTTTATTGAGAATCAAACTCAGGACTTTGCACTTGCTAGGCAGGTGCTGTGCTGCTAAGCTACATCCCCAGCCCTTTTTTTGAAATTAAGAAGCAATAGGAAACATACTATGTAAAAAAACAATATGTGGATAAGAAATTCAGACACTGCAATCATCTGTCCTTGAAACCCAAGGTTTCATTTTTATACTATCTATGAAGGATTATTTCTACAGATAAATACCAATGAATGTTTTTCTTTCCTTGCCTTAAACTATTCAATGGCTCCCCCATATCTCTAAGGACAAAGTTCAAACTCAATTTACCTGGCTCTCCAGCCCAATTCCTCCCCTTTCTCCAGGTTTTCCTTTTAGTTTCTCAACACACACTCAAACATCACCTTCATGAAGGAGAGGTGGGAAGGGTAGGGGAAAGGAAATAAGGGAAAAGAAAAAAAATATGAGAAAATAAAAAAATGGAAATAAAGTATTTGTAAATAAGGAAGGGAGGAGGGGTTGAAGGGAGGGCAGGGACAAGGGGAAAAAATGAGAACCAAGTCCTGTCATGTAAAGGTACAAGATCCCAATGATGAATGTAACTGTACTGTATCCCTAAAATGGACCAATAAACTCAATGAGGAAAAACAAACAAGCAAGCAAACATCACCTTTATTCTCACTGCCAGAAACCTTCCCTTCCACTCCCTCCTTCTCTAGCAGCAGGGAGCACTTACCAAATACTGTGTCATTACTAATGATATAATTACTGACATGGAAGGAAAATGAACACATGTAAGTTACAGTTGGGATTACAAACCAACAAGTTTATGGAAAATTAAGCCCTACTGCTTTCACATACATTAAGACTGATCATATGTCGAGACTTACTAGGAACATTTTAAGAAGACATTAAAATTTGAAGTTATTTTTAACACAGAGAACATACAATCTTGTCTTCATTTTTCCAGTGCCAGATGTCATGGTTTTTCTATGACCTCAAGTCATTATGGTGTCCTAGCTAATCAACAGGCACTACAATATTTTGTGGGGATAGAAGAAGGCATTTACTATCTTATGGAATTTTCACAACACCCAACCACCATGAGTGTACTTTTATCATCTCCAATATAAGTAAATTATAAGTAAAATGTAGTTAGGGAGATAAAACTCATATAGTCACAGAGCAGGTAAAGAAAAGGCAAAATTGAAATCCAGACTGGTCAGACTCCAAAACTAATTTTCTTTTGATGAAGAAATGCAGTGACCCCTTACTGGAAGACCCTGATAATATCTAAGATTCCTTCCAGCCCTAACCTTGTCTGATTTATAAAGAAACAAAGAAGTCCTTTCCTGTACATCTCTCACACCTATCAGTCCCATCTGGAGCATGGGCACAAATTAGTATTCTCAGTGTCTCTGCTGTTCTCTGAATGACACATGTAGATGCCAGCTTCGTGAATAGGAACTCAAAGGACCTTTCATTTCATTTCGGATTAGTGACCTATCCAATTTATTTTACTTCCTCAATTCCTCCCGTAGAGCACAGCATCACTAAAAAAGACAGACCAGGCTCTTCTGCCATGTGAAATACAGCAAACAGATGCCTTTTATGAAACCAGAAGTGGACCTTCACTAGACCTTGGCTGTGACTTTCCAGCACCCAAAACTAATAAACAAAGAACTTCAGCAATGAACTAGAGGCCTGGCCACTGTTCTCCTAAAGTGACTGTGTAGGACATTCACCTTGCATGTGGTTATGAATTAAATATATAGATGAGCACCCAGAGGTTGTTTTGTTTTTGTGTCCCAGAGATGGAGCCCAGTATTCTGTGTACCCACGCTCTCGCTCTCCTGCTGAGCTACACCCTGACCCTTTCATGGAGTATTTAAACTAGTTCTTTGCTCCCACACTGACCATCTTTAATATCTTATTCAACACTGAGATGATCTAAAAACAAATTATCTAAATTGTTCCTGGTTCTTGGCACATGACGTTAGCTGCTAGGTATCTGATTACTTTGATGAAAGCTCACTTTCCTGTGGTACCACTGTAAAAACTTGGCTCCATCTGTATTTACTTATTCACTCATTTTATCGCCAGGTGATAGTGTTCTTATGATAAAAACCCTCCAATTGCTGAAAACTTGTGCAACTGTTTTGCTATCTTTAATCACTTTAATATTGTTTTTATAGACATAAAAAATGATCAGGACAAATGACTTTTAGAGATACTTGTGAGATGAGTGTTAGTGTATTTTGATATAAAATCTAACTTTAGAGCCTTATTCATTAAGTTTTAGACTCAAGATATTGGGTTATATACTTATCAAAAAAATGAATATAGTTATATATAAATATATTTGTATCTGTGTACATAATACTCAGCTCATTTTTGTCATTAACTTAATGATTCTAATGTGACACTTAAACTTAACTCTGTAAGTAGCAATGCACATTACCATCCAGCCAGATGAATATGACACTTCACAGCATGTACTTCATTATGGAAAGCACAAGTAAAGTAAGTATTTGTATAATGCTTTACTTAACAAAAGTGTCATGTAGCTGGGTGTGGTGGTGCATGACTGTAATCCCAGCACTTGGGAGGCTGAGGCAGGAGGATCGCTGTGAGTTCAAGACCAGCCTGGGCTACATAGTGAGTTCCACGTCAGTCTCAACTACACAGTGAGACCTTGTCTCACCGCCCCCCCCCAAAAGTGTCATGTAGGAAAGAACTCATTTCCTAGATAAAGAAAAAAGGCTCAAACAGCTTAGTAACTTGTTCAAGTTCAAACTCCTAGTAAGCAGCAGAGTCAGCGCAAAACTCTAAAATGATGTCTTATCTATCAGAAGGGCAATGAGACAATGTGAAACAGTCTTAAAGACTGGTAATTAGGTGTAACACATGTTGGCTCTATGAACACCAACTGCATCGCGTGTATGAAAACTCCAAGTTAGAGATGCAACAGAGTGACCAAAAGAAATGAAAAGCAATTTATGTTCAAGGGATATCATAGCACCGGTAAGAGAAGACTGGGTTGAGACACAGAGCCAGTGGGGATTTGTCTGTGAGACGAAGCTGTGCTGAATGCAGGATGCTGAGATGCCCTAGAAGTCTGACCTTCTGGCTCATATCCATCCATATGTTCCCTCGTCCACTGGCTTTGGTTGATTCTGCCAGTGAAGACCGCTGGGTTTAGGTGGGAAGCAAAGTTAGGAGCTGCCCTTGGTTCCCTCCCTGTGGTTTCTAGGTGGCAGTGGTCTTGCAAAGGGTTACTGCACCTTCCAAAGGCTCCTGACGCCCATGACGCTCCCTTGTACCCGTGTGCACCCCATCCTGTGCCTACCTACACCCTGCCCACATCCTGGGTACCAGCACCTTTGCAAATAAACCATCCCATTCAAAAACTGCCGGACCCCTTGATGGCTACATCTTGGAAGTCTTCCCCACTGTTACGCTGGTTACTTTGTGAACTATTCACTTGGTTTGCTTGTTCTTTCATCACAGTAACGATTCTTGGCTTCTTCAGTGAAGTTCAGAAGGTAGACACATTTTTAAGAAAGGAAAATTCTTTGAGTTCATTCCGTTTTCTTAAAAGTACAACTATCATACACAATGACGAGAGAAGTCCAAAATAAGTAAAATAAGGGCACAGCTTTATTTTGCTACAAGGCAGTAAGTACACTGTCATCAAAGGTTCAGTGCTGGACATCTTGCACCAAATGTTCTTAAGGCAGAAACTCACTGTTGACCTCAGTCTTTCTTTGTTTTCTCCCAGAGGCAAACACAGGACTTGATTTTTTTTTCTCTCTCTCTCTCTCCTCAACTGCAAACACCGGACCCATGAGGCAGTTCTGATATCATAGACTTAAAAACCATGGGGATGCTGATCAAAGTCAGAACCCCTGAGTTAAAGAACAATCAGGCTGAACTCGAACAAAACATAGGACATCGACAACACAGATCTCCCAAAAAAGAAAGAAGTGCAACGCATGCTTTTATAAACCACCAACAACAAAAAAGGACCAAAAAACAAAAACACGTAACAACAAAATGCAAAATCTCCCAAACAACTTTTCCAATGTATTACAAAAGGAAAAAAAAAAGTATGTTTTTAAAAAATAAAAAAGTCTGAGATTCTAGTGCATAGTCAATTACCTAACACCAAGTTTCCTCTCTTTCCATCCAAGCTCTACTGCCCCTCTGATACTAGCAGCATGTCTACAGGCTAAGACCGTAGCAGCAAAACACAGTTTTTATTTGGCATTTACAAAATTAAATTACTGAATAAAAATATAATTTTTTATAAAACTATTTCATACAGTAATAATTTTTAAAGCAAGCTAACAAAAAACTCATAAAATAGTTGAGTACAATAAATGTACCTCCAATGTTATTAACCATCAACGAGCATTTACAATCTCCATTCATTGTTCCATGGTGTTTAGTCAACATTTATAGTAATGCTTTTACTGATTTTTAAAAATCTGCACATATGTTTAGTGATTGAGGAAAGTAGAATACTGGAGTACCTTTTTTTGTGTAAAATTTTAAAAAATACTGATCTGTTGGCCCCTCTAAAATACAGATAAATCATTTTATATATATATTTTTAAAAATCTGCTTCAAGATATCAACTGGTTACAAAATTCATTACCTAATAATTTAGGCAAGACTGCTATTTATTTTTTAAAAATCCTTTTTTAGTTGGGTGAAATCCAAAAGATTTCACCCAACTAAATGCACTTGGTGCTGCTCTCAACTGTTGTACCACAACAAAAATAGGTTCTTCTCCCAGTCTTGGAAAGTTTCATGTCGAGGAATGATATATCCCAAGTCAACTTGAAGTGTTCTGAAAACCATAATGCTTTTCTGGAAATGTCTCACATGACCAGAGTTCGGGCTGAGAATGCGTTCACATATTTACGAGTCTGAGTGGAAGCCGTCATCTGGTCCTCTGTCTTCCCACAGGATGCAGGCTCCCAGGCTCCACTACAAGGCTAAGGGGGAGGGGTAAGAACAGGTCAGACCGGGAAGCACAGACCGGACTCCCAGGGGATCCCCAGTCCAGCAGGATCAGTGTATGACACTGTGATACACAATAGAGCAGTGCATGCCAGGAAGCCTTCGGACAGCAGCCTCTCAACAACTCAATACCCAGAAACCCAGTGTTCTTACGTGACGTTACAGATCAGAAACTTTATTAGAGAGCAGGAAAAGATGCAGCCACATCTTCACGCTGGTGTCCTTTTTGTCTCTAGTAAGCAGTGAATAAGCATAATCTCCAGACACGTGAGATAAACTGTGGGCATTCACTAAGCAGGCTGGCGTGCTCCAGCCAAGAAGCTCAGCATCTGCTAAGCACAGTATATATTCTCCATAATTAATTTAGAAACATTTGTTCATCAGTGTAACTTATTTTTTGCAGTCTTGGGGATCAAACCCAGGGCCTCAGACACATGCTAGGCAAGTGCTCTATCACCAAGCCACAATCCTGCCTCAGGCCCCAGGATGGACTAATCCTTAAAGATACACTGGAAGGCATAAGATGGATGCGATACTAAAAGGATAGTATCTTGGTCCTAGGAACCCTTTAGACCATCACATACATTATCTCATTTAAATAGTAAAACTACCCCGCAAGCAAGGCAGGTCCATGCTGTCTTTAGTCAGAGCAGAAAATGGAAAGGTGAAAAGGGTGGCAACTCGCCAAGGCAACTGTGGAGATCCCTGGCCTATCCACTGCACAGTTCTAGCTCCCGCTGGACCTCCATGCCACCTAAACTAAAATACACAGTATTTATGCTGCACTTCAGTCCCCAGAGGATTTAATATGATTACAAAATAAATAGAGCAGAGGCTCAAAAGTGCAGAGAGCAAGATTGCGGGGAAATATATGTGAGAAAAATAAATAATATGAAGTTGGGAAAGATTTGTACATAAATTACATCATGAAGCACAGTGCCCAGGCAGATATCAAACCTGAGCTTTTCAGCAGTCACTGCAGACTGGGAAAAAAACATAAACAGGTATTGGTGCCTCTGAGGTCAATAGGAAACCAGTGGTTTAGGAGAAGCACCCTTCCTGTTATTGATACTGAGAAGAATTACTTTCCATGGGACGAAAGAAGCCTCCAGAACCTAGAGTACTTCAAGAGACAAATGCACAGGTGTCTCACGGCAGGTGGCTTTAATAGCTGACAATGTTGGGGCCCGGGGTGCCACCTGCATGTGAACTGGGATGGGACACCGAGGAATTGCCAGGGCACTGCCATAGGAAAAGGGAAAGAAAGGGTAGGGCTATACAGGCAGATGGAAAAGCTGGGGTGCAATCCAGGTGGCAAGGTAGCAGGAATGAGAAAGGAGGCTGCAATCTGTACACTGCTGACGGAATGACCAAGAAGGGAAACACAGTGGTCAAAAGACAAAGCCTAACAAGCCCTTTACATGTGCTGCTCACGCTTCTAAGAGTTTCACAGGTTTCATCTCATTTAACTCTCACTCAACACACCTGTGGCCCACGTACACCTGTGGAACTGCACCTATTGTACAGAGCAATTTAAAAGGAAGCAAGAATTAAGCAACATACTCCAGGCCTCCAAGCTAAGAAATGAAGGAGCAAAACTGTGAACTCAGGTGGGATACAAGAGCCATTATCCCCAAGGATGCTGCTTCTACTAAGGCTCTCGTCAGGAACAAAGCAAGTAACGTTATGGGAAACTCAGGGGCTCAGTCATCAGGGCCTTGGAATGCTGGAAGAAGCGCTGAGCACGAGAGGTCCGGTGATCCTGAATGAACACACCAAACTGGTTTGGTTGTGAGGCTTCCTTGCTTGGTAGTTGTAACAAAGTTCCAGTGACATTAAGTTTATAGTGTCATGTTCTACCTTTCATACAAAATCACCAGGGTAGTTACGGCATTCTTTGCAATAGCTCCGAATAAACGATGTTTCCCTAGATGTAAGCGTGTGGATTAAATATTTCTCTGGTGTATATCTGTCCACCCAAAATCCCTAGTTTAGTTTTACTGATTGCTTATATACTGTAAAAATTTCCAGCGCAGAACTGAAACACTTTATTGACACATGACAGTAAAGTTAAAATGTAATGTTATCTTTTTAACTACTGAGATAGGGTTTGTAGTCACTGTAGCACGATGTGACATAAAACTACTATTTCGGGAACAATTCTCTATGCTGTACTGCCTACTATCAGGTGCTATCCAGTGTTCAGTAGCAATGATTAGATACACAAAGAACAAAGAACGTGGATCTTAAGGGAAATGACAGTGAAACAGACTGAATATCTTAGTATCCTGTACCATATGTTGATTTAAAGTTTACACAGAAATACATACAAAAAGGAACAATACAAACATGAGAAAATGAAAAAAATGTAAACAAAGGCTTTATAAATAGGAAAGGGGAGAAGGGTTGAGGGGAGGGCAGGGGAATGGGGAAAAATAAGAATTAAAATATATTATGTAAAGATACAAATCTCCAATGATGAATGTCATTATATTGTGTACCTAAAATTACCAATAAAATTGATTTTAAAAAAGAATAATGCATACACTGAAATAAACGGAGCAGGGAAGAGAAGGAAAGTAAGAATGGAAGTAGAAGGGAGATATAAGCAAGAAAGGATTGTTTGTTTTTCTGTGATTAATGATTTTTCAACTTAGCTGGACTTTAATTAATTTCAAATAAAATTTCTAAACATATGTAAGTGTTTTAAGATACTACTGAAAGGGCCGGTCGTGCTGGAGCACGCCTGTAATCCCAACACTCAGGAGGCTGAGGCCGGAGGATCACTGAGAGTTTGAGACCAGCCTGCGCTACATAGTGAGACCCTGTCTCAAAAAAGAGATACTATGGCAAAATAATCATATTTGCTTTTACTAGGCTTCCTAGAAGAGTCAAGTTCTAATCTTTTGTCATGTAAGCCTTAGGTTGACACAGAATTTCCCAAGTCTATTTAGGAGAATCTAATGCTGAGTAGTATCAGTTTAGCATAGCTTCAACTTGAAATGTAATTGTGATTTTAATAGTTCCCCAGATGGCTCGTCACTTGGTTCATGTTTGGCTCTTCCTCCAGGACCAGATATTTAAAATATCAATATAAAGATGGAATCTTTTTTTTTTTTTTTT